CAGAGTTTCACTCTTGTTACCCAGGCTGGAGTGCAATGGTGCGATCTCGGCTCACCGCAACCTCCGCCTCCTGGGTTCAGGCAATTCTCCTGCCTCAGCCTCCTGAGTAGCTGGGATTACAGGCACGCGCCACCATGCCCAGCTAATTTTTTGTATTTTTAGTAGAGATGGGGTTTCACCATGTTGACCAGGATGGTCTCAATCTCTTGACCTCGTGATCCACCCGCCTCGGCCTCCCAAAGTCTGCTGGTGTTTTTATATCATTGGTGTCAACATGGTGGCAGGAGGTCTGGGTAAAGCAACAGCTCAAGGAGGATTTGCACTTCAATTTTCAGTGGGTTTTCTGAAGGCTAAGACATCTGTTTGGATAGCTGGTACAAAATGAGATGTTAGGGATTTGGGCTCAATTCAGCATAATTTGGAATAGTGCACCTGGTCTTTTGTTTATAGTATTTCTATCTTTTTGTTGGTTTTATGATTTATATCTTACAAATCTCTCTATTTTTTCCTTCATCTCCTTCTGTTGCAGTTTGATCAGATTGTGGAAGGGCAGTATAGACACGTGTTTCTTTAATTAAAGCCATCCCCCTCCCCTAGGCCAGAACAGGTGTTGTAGAAATTCCTGGGTGACTCTTTTTCAAACAAAATTGAACAGTGCACACCGAATGGTGTGCAAGAGATTCCCTTCTGCCAATGTCTTCCATCAAAGGCATTGGAGTAGGAACCGTTTCGATATCTGAGTAAAGGTAGACAGAATCTCTTTAGAGATACATTGCATTGGAATTGATCTGTTTATTTCAAATATTTGCTAAGTAACTTATTGTTAGTTCTAAAAGAGCTAAGCATGAGAATCTTTGAGTTGCCGAGAATGGGTTTTCCAGATGAATCCCAGCAGGCCAGTCTTGGCGAATGCTTCATCTTTAATTTGTACACGACCTGCATGCATGTGTTTGACAGTGCAATCTTTTTATAGGTGACATGTGTCGATCTATTCCATGAAAAGGCAGAGATGGTCACTTCCAAATCGCTCATGATTTTAGCCTTTAAACTCCAAAGCAAACCAGTATCATTTCTTGGACATTTACTATGTGCCAAGTTCTTTACATGTGTGGTCTAATTTACATAATTACCTAATTTAACTCTCACGTGTGACCCGTGATCAAAATGTTACTATTATTACCTCTTGACAGATGAGGAAATATGAGGAAGAGGTGATTTGGCTGAGATATGGTGAACTGGGATAGGAATACAGGTTGGCCAGGTGAAATTCACATAACATAAAATCAGCCATTTTGAGGTGAACGAGTCAGTGACCTTAAATGTGTTCCCAACGTTGTGCAAGCACCAACTCTATCTAGGCCCACATATTTTCATCTTTCCAAAAGGAAACCCTGTTAAGCAGTCACTACATTTCCCCCCTCACTCCAGATCCTGGCAACCACCAGGCCCCCTTTTTACTTCCTTAGTCCCTGGCCCCTCCCAACCTCCAAAAAGGTAACCCTATTCTGATGCCAGTTTCAACCATAACATGATGCAAAACAGCTAATGTGTATTTAATGCTGATGTATGCTGGGCACTGTTCAGAAACTTTGCATGCATTAATTCTTTTCATCCTTTCTACCCTATGCAGAAGATACTGCTATTCCCTCTGTTTTACAGATGAAAACATGAAGGCACAGAGAGGTCCAGAAAGTCATCCAAGGTCATACAGTCACTAAGGGCCAGACCCTGGATTGGAACCCTAGCATTCTGCCACCAGACTCCCTTTCTTAAGCAGTAGGATATGCTGCCTCTGTGTGATCTCATCCCTCACACAAGGGGTAATAGCATTACCAGCAAATCTACAGCCCATGTGGTGTAGCTCATACAGCAAATCCTCAGTCCATGCATGGTAGCCCATACCCACCGCATAATTCAGAACCACAGCACAGTTCAGAACAACAGCTTTTGGAGCTGCCCAAGGCAGCCACCCTCTTCCCTGACTTTACCGTGAATCCTAACTCCAGCTGGAAAGCAATATGCTAAGAGCTATAATGGAGGAACATACAAAGGCCCATGGAGGCCCAGAGAGGGGAGAGATTAGTTCTGCCTGGGGAGCCCGGAAAAGCATCTGGTTCTTTCGTTTCTGTATTCTTTTGCACAAGAATAAAATCCAAAATGACTTGCACATATCGGGGAAGAATAACCATCTTATAAAATCAGGATGAATTTTAGTTGTGGGCAAGATCCACGCACATAGCCTTGGTTATGCCACCAATTAGCTGAGTGACCCTCGGCTGGTTGCTTTGCCTTTCTAAGCCTTTGTTTTCTCATCTTTAAAATCAGAATATTCTGACTTGCAGACATATAAAGTCCCTGACATGTCATAAGGCTGTAATAAATATTCTTAATAAATGTTTTGCTGTTTAAACCGAGACCTGCTTTTAGGAAGAGACCTGATAACTTCATGTTAAGGTATAAATAACAACAGTAAGAGCAACATTTACTGAGCTCTTATGATGTGTCAGACACCAATTTAAGTACTTTACACCTGTATGGAAATGACTTGGAATATATTGCTTTTTTAATAAAAAAAAAATCTTGTTTTTAAAAACGATGTTAAAAATAACCCCAAACAACTGAGTTCCATTTCACAAACTGATGTTCTGTAGGGAAACCCAGGCCTGTGGTTTGGTCTGGGAAACAGGTAATGAAAATTGGAAGGTTCCAGGGTCATCTAGGTTAGGGAAACTGGATACTCTGTCCTCGTGGTCCCCAAGCTTTGCTGTACTTTGGGATCATCAGACCATGGTTGGTGTAGACCCGTGCTTGGCCCAGCTGCAGGCATTCTGGTTAGTGTAACTTGGGTGCCACCTGGGCAGCAGGATGTTGTAAAGGTCCCGGGTGGTTCCAGTGTGGGGCCAGTGGGAACTACCCCTCCAGTCCCTCCTGAAACTTCACGGGACTTAGTGGCACATTTCAAACTTTGAAGAGTGCATCTACTTGTAAAATTTGCACTTCCCATCTATTAGGTTGGTGCAAAAGTAATTGAGTTTCTCCCCATTACTTTTTAAGTGGCAAAAATCACAATTGCGTTTGCCCCAACCTGATATATTTTTGTTTGAACTCAACCAACCATCATTTGGAGATCTCTCTCTCTTTCTGTTCTTGTTTTTTTTTTTTCTGCTAAAAGTTATGAGATATTGAAAAAATACATGATGCCTCCCACCCCCCACCGACAAGTCCATCCCTTGCTCTATCACCTTGTGACCTCATCTCCTGCCAGGAGATGCTTTGTGAGCCCACCTAGGCCTCAGCACCTGCTGCTCTTCTGCCTGGAGGGTTCTTCCCTGCTCAATACCTGTGGGCCCCTCTCTTATCCCTGCAGGTTTTGATCCTTGCATCTCCTTTTTATCAACGTCTTTCCTGGCTTCTCAATTTAAACCTGCCCTCTTTTCCTGACACCTCTACTCCATATTGACCTTCTTTGTTTTATTTTTCTCCACGGATCTTATGATCATCTGACAATTTAATAATTCTACTCATTTGTTTATTGTCTGCACATCTCTGCTGTCTGCTCCACAAGGGCAGGGCTTTTGTCATATTCACAACTGTGTCCCCAGCACCTAGAACACTACCTGATGTAAATATTTGTTGAATGAATGAGTGAATGAATGGAAGAATGAACAAATGAAAAGTATTAAAAAAAATTATAAGCCCCTGTCTATCCACCATCCAGTTTGATGGGTATTGAAACTTTGCCTTATTTCCCTAGGTTCTTTCTTGTCTAAAAAAAACAAAATGTGTCCAATACTGTTGGAAACCCCCTTGTTCACCTTCCCAGTCCCTGTCCCCTTCCAAGTCCCCAAGAGGTAGTAACCCTATTCTAATGCTAGTGGGTAATCTCCCAGCCCAATTTTGTACCTTTATATATGTCTCTAGTATTCTTTTGGGGTTTTAAAATTTTATATAAACTGCAAACTTTACCTAACTTTCTATAGTTTGCTTTTTATATCAACATTATATTTTATTCATGATGATACACACAAAAAAACCTCATTTTAAGATTGGTATAGAATTCCATTGTATGAATATTTTATAATTTGTTATTTCCCCTATAAATGGATATGTATGTTGTTTCCAATTTTTTGCTATTACAAACAAAGCCACAGTGAATGCCTTGGGATGTGTCTTCCATGCACAGGTGCGAGAAAATTTTTTCTTTTTAGATCTGGGATGTGAAATTGCTGGGTCTTAGGGTGCATCTCCCATTTACTAGGTGTTACTGAATTTCTCATCAGAGCGGCTGTACCTGTTGATGTTCCCTCCTGCAATGACTTCTGCCTATCTGGTGACTTGTGAGCTGATATCTTATTATTCCTAATGGTTTCTCTTCTCCTGACTCCTTGTGAGGCTGAGCTCCTTGTCACATGTTTACTGACCATTCAAGTGAACTCATCTGTGAATTGTCTTCTGACCGCCTTCATCCATCATTGTTTGAGCTGTTTGTTTTGTTTTGTTACTGACTTGTAGAAATTCTTTATATATTCTGGACATGAATCTTTTGTTAGCCATTTGCTTTGCAGACGTCTCCCATTCTGTGGCCTTTTACCTTTGTCGATACTGGCTTTGTTGCACAGGCAGTCAGAGCATTTTCCACTATACAAAATGAGAGGAATGAACGCTGGAATTTCAGGTAACATGCCAACAGGGTATGGAGGAAGAAGGATGTAGTTTCTAGGGCTGGGACCTTCACTGTAGTCTCCATCATGTCACTAGCAATTCCATCACAATCTCCAGCCCTAGAAAAGCTACTAGATTCCCAAACCCTTATGTTTGTTAGTGAGAACAGAGCTGCTTCCTGCAGTGGGTCCAGGTTGCCTATCTAGAAGCGATCTTTGTGGTACTGCATCCCACAGTGGGCCAGCAATCCCAGCAGCCATCTCTGCTGCAAAGCCACCTCACTAATTGCCAAACCTAGTGCCTAGCTGATTTGCAGAAATGTGCCATGTTTCCTTTCTGATATATGTCCCCATGATAATGGGAGACAGCAGGAGGGAACGATGGAAACAGAACTGTCCCAGGGTTGCAGGACTCAGAACAGGGATCCAGAGGTTCAGATAGGAAAGGCAACAGAAGGGTTCCATGGGAGACCTATGAGTATACCCCACAACCATAGGTGATGGGAAGCCCTTTCAATGGCAGGCAGGCACTGGTTTAGAGCCTACTTTAGAACCCGTTACCTTGATGGTTTGGGGTGCCATATGTTATCAGTTACCTTCTGTTGTGTAACAGGTTACCCCAAATCTTAGTGACTTCAAACAATAGCCATTTACTTAGCTCATGACTGTGAGCTGGCATTCTGGGCTGGGCTCCAGTGGATGTTTATTTTCTGTTGGTTCTGGCTGGTCTCACGCATAAGTCTGTGGCCAGCTGTTGGTCATCTTGGAAGCTCTGTGCCTGGGGACTGCCTGGCTGCTGGCTGGGGGAATTGGGGAGGCTATCTCTGTTCCTCCAGCAGGTTAGCCCGGTACTTCTCATACTCTGTGTCCAGTTTGCCAAAGCTGCAAAAGCAGAAGCTGCAACTGACGTATGACCTTAGTAATGACTACCAGGAAAGCAAGTCCAGTCAGAAAGTCCAGGTCTGTGCAAAACGTGGACTTCCACTTCACTCCCTTGACGTGGATTCTACATGGCCCCTTTCTACAGAAGCCATGTAGAATACCCTCAGTGAGGGTGATGGCAGGCGTGTCTTGCTTGGCTGAGGCTCCAGCAGAGCTGAGCTCTGTGGGGTTAGTGCTCGTGTGGCATTGTGGAGCTTTTACTGAAGCAGGTCCTGGCGGCACAGCCTCTGAGAGTGATTCCTGACCCACTGGGGATCTGCGAGTGCCCTGACATTCTAATAAATTCACTTTCTGCTAAACTAGCTAGAGCGGGCTCTGTTGTTTCTAACTAGGAATCCCAATGGGAATGACTTGTTTTGTTGGTTTTTCAAATTTTTAGTTTTTCACTGTGGTAAAATATACATAACAAAATTTACCATTTTAATCATTTTTAAGTGTATAATTCAGTAGCATTAAGTACATTTACTCTCTTTCCCTCTCTTATTTTTGTCCTTTGAGTATGATATGGACTGTGGGTTTGTCGTAAATAGCTTTTATTGTTTTGAGATACGTTCCATCGATACCTAGTTTATTGAGAGTTTTTAGCATAAAGGCCTTCTCTGCATCTATTGAGAAAATCACATGGTTTTTGTCTTTGGTTCTATTTATGTGAATTACGTTTATAGATTTGTGTATGTTGAACCAGCCTTGCATTCCTGGGATGAAGCCTACTTGATCGTGGTGGATAAACTTTTTGATGTGCTGTTGGAATCGGTTTGCCAGTATTTTATTGAAGATTTTTGCATCGATGTTCATCATGGATATTGGCCTGTAGTTTTCTTTTTTAGTTATGTCTCTGCCAAATTTTGCTATCAGGATGATGTCGGTCTCATAAAAAGAGTTAGGGAGGATTCCCTCTTTTTGTATTGTTTGGAATAGTTTCAGAAGGAGTGGTACCAGCTCCTCTTTGTGTGTCTGGTAAAATTCGGCTGTGAACCCATCTGGACCTGGGCTTTCTTTGGTCAGTAGGCTCTTAGTTGCTGCCTCACCTTCGGACCTTGTTATTGGTCTATTCAGGGTTTCAACTTCTTCTGGGCTTAGTCTTGGGAGTGTGCAAGTGTCAGGAATTTATCCATTTCTTCCAGATTTACTGGTTTATGTGCATAGAGTTGTTTGTGGTAATCTCTGATGGTAGTTTGTATTTCCGAGGAATTGGTGGTGATCTCCCCTTTATCGTTTTTCATTGCATCTATTTGATTCTTCTCTCTTTTCTTTTTTTTATTAGTCTAGCCAGTGGTCTGTCTATTTTGTTGATCTTTTCAAAAAACCAACTCCTGGATTTATTGGTTTTTTGAAGGGAGTTTTGTGTATCTCCTTTGGTTCTGCTCTGATCTTAGTTATTTCTTGTCTTTTGATTGCTTTTGAGTTTTTAAAATCTTGCTCCTCTAGTTCTTTCAATTTTGACAATAGAGTGTTGATTTTCTATCTTCCCTTGTTTCTCATGTGGGCATTTACTGCTATAAATTTCCCTCTAGACACTGCTTTAAATGTGTCCCAGAGATTCTGGTAAGTTGTGTCTTCATTCTGATTGGTTTCAAAGAACATTTTTATTTCTGCCTTCATTTCATTGTTTATCCATTCGTCCTTCAGGAGCAAGTTGTTCAGTTTCTATGTGATTGTGTGGTTTTGATTGCTTTTCTTAATGCTGAGTTCTAATTTGATTGTGTTGTGGTCTGAGAGACTGTTTGTTATGATTTCTGTTTGTTTGCATTTGCTGAAGAGTGATTTACTTCCAATTATGTGGTCAATTTTGGAGTAAGTGCAATGTGGTGCTGAGAAGAATGTGTATTCTGTGGATTTGGGGTGGAGTGTCCTGTAAATGTCTATTAGGTCCGCTTGGTCCAAATCTGCGTTCAAGTCCTGGATATCCTTATTGACTTCCTATGTCGTTGATCTGCCCAATATTGTCAGTGGAGTGTTAAAGTCGCCCATTATTATTGTGTGGGAGTATAAGTCTCTTTGTAGGTCTTCAAGAACTTGCTTTATGTATCTGGATGCTCCTGAATTGGGTGTATAAATATTTAGGATAGTTAGCTCTTCTTGTTGCCTTGATCCTTTTACCATTATATAATGCCCTTCTTTGTCTCTTTTGATCTTTGTTGGTTTAAAGTCCATTTTATCAGAGACTAGGATTGCTACCCCTGCCTTTTTTTGCTCTCCATTTGCTTGGTAAATCTTCCATCTCTTTATTTTGAGTCTATGTGAGTCTTTGCATGTGAGATGGGTCTCCTGAATACAGCACACCAATGGGTCTTGACTTTTTATACAATTTGCCAGTCTGCGTCTTTTGATTGGGGTGTTTAGGCCATTTACATTCAATGTCAATATCGTTATGTTTGAATTCGATCCTGCCATTTTGTTACTGGCTGGTTGTTTTGCCTGTTAATTGACGTGGCTCCCTCATTGCATCGTTATTCTTTACCATTTGGTATGTTTTTGCAGTGGCTGGTACTGGTTGTTCCTTTCCCTGTTTAGTACTTCCTTCACTAGCTCCTGCAAGGCAGGTCTTGTAGTGATGAAATCTCTCAGCCATTGCTTGTCCATAAAGGATTTTATTTCTCCTTCACTTATGAAGCTTAGTTTGGTTGGATATGAAATTCTGGGTTGAAAGTTCTTTTCTTTAAGGATGTTGAATATTGGCTCCCACTCCCTTCTGGCTTGCAGGGTTTCTGCTGAAAGATCTGCTGTGAGTCTGATGGTCTTTCCTTTGTGGGTGACTCAACCTTTCACTCTGGCTTCCCTGAGGATTTTTTCCTTCATTTCAACGCTGGTGAATCTGATTATGTGCCTTGGGGTTGCTCTTCTTGAGGAATATCTTTATGGTGTTCTCTGTATTTCCTGGATTTGAATGTTGGCCTGCCTTGTTAGGTTGGGAAAGTTCTCTTGGATAATATCTTGAAGAGTGTTTTCCAACTTGGATTCATTCTCCCCATCACATTAAGCTATGCAGATCAAGTGTAGATTAGGTTTTTTCACATAATGCCATAGTTCTTGGAGGCTTTGTTCATTAATTTTCACTCTTTTTTCTCTAATCTTGCCTTCTCATTTTAGTTCATTGATTTGATCTTCCATCTCTGATATCCTTTCTTCTGCTTGATCGATTTGGCTGTCAAAACTTGTGTATGCCTCATGAAGTTCTCGTGCTGTGTTTTTCAGCTCCATCAAGTCGTTTATGTTCTTCTCTAAGCTGGTTATTCTAGTTAACATTTCGTCTAACCTTTTTTCAAGGTTCGTAGTTTCTTTGCATTGGATTAGAACATGGACTTTCAACTCAGAGAAGTTTGTTATTACCCACCTTCTGAAGCCTGCTTCTGTCAGTTCGTCAGATTCATTCTCTGTCTTTTTTTGTTCCCTTGATGGTGAGGAGTTGTGATCCCTGGGAGGAGAAGACGTGTTCTCTTCTTTGATTGTTTCATCCTTTTTGCGCTGTTTTTTTCCCATCTTCGTGGATTTATCTCCCTTTAATATTTGAAGTTGGTGATTTCAGGAGTCTCTGAGTGACTTTTTTTTCTGTTGAGGTTGGAGCTGTATCTTTTTTGGCCTGTAGAGGGCGATGCTAGGCTCTCTAGGGTCAGTCAGGTTGCTGGGTGGGTGGTCCTTCCCTGGAGTTTGCAGGTGAGGCTGGCCCCGCCTTCCCAATGGCTTCTCTTCTTTCCCAGCTGGAGCTTCCTGGTTGTGGTCAAGCTGGTGTATTTGCTGCCAAGCTCTCTGGCTAGGCTTCAGTTTGAGCTCTGTGGAGGTGGGGCCTGCCAGGCCTTGTGGTCTGTTTTCCTGCTTTCAACGCTGCCTCCCTCTGTGGGACTGTCCGTCCCGCTGACGTTAGTCCAACCCCCCACCCAGGTGCCTGCGACAGCTTCCCGCGTCCGGCGGTAGCTGCTGCCCAGATTTGCATCGACTACCCACGGCGTCCCACCGTCTGGCAGGGCTCTCCTGGACCAGAGGTTGCAGGAGGGATGAGGTAAGCACAGAATCCGTGTCGGAGCACCAAGGGGGTTAAGTCCCCTGCCCCTCCAAGCCGGCTGCGTGTTTCAGGTGGGGAAGTGCCCTCCTTGATTTGCCCCCCTGGGCGGCTCTCGCCCTGCGGCTCCTCTGCTGGGCCTATTTCAGCGCCCTCTCAGTCCCACAGAAACAAACCCAGCACCTGGTTTGGAATTGTGAAGTCCTCTAGCCCTCTGGGTCTCATTCGCTGCGAGCTGCATTCCGGTGCTGGCTTCTCTCGGCCATCTTGGCGCCCCCTGCCTCATGTATTTCTTTATAGCAATGCAAAAACAGATGAACAGTTCCCAACAGGAGGAACAGGTGCAGAGGCCCTGGTGGCTCTGAGGAAGAGAGAGGAGTGTGACTGGAGAGCAGAGAGGGAGGAGGGTTTGGTGGCATCTTAGCTATTCATACCTTCTGAGCTTGGGTTCTTGTCTGAAATGCAGGGAGCCTTATTCCAGTGTCTGCTTGGGGGACTGTATTAGTTTGCTAGGGGGGCTGTAAGAAAGTACCACAAACCGGGTCGCCTCAAGTCATAGAAATATTTTCTCAAGCACTTCTGGAGGCTGGGGTCTCTCTAAAGGTCTAAGAGGATGAGCCCCTCCATGCCTTTCTCCTGGCCTCTGGCGTTGCTGGCAATCCTTGGGATCCCTTGGTTTGTAACCGCAGCACTCCAGTCTCTGCCTCTGTCATCTCTTCTCCAGGATGCCGGTCATATTGGATTTAAGGCCTACCTTACTCTCGTGTGACTTGTCACAAGTTGACTACAGCTACAAAGATTCTATTTCCAAATAAGAGTTCAACGTCTGGGTCTGAGTTCCTCCTCTGCCTTTAACGTGGGTAGGTGTTCAGGGAAGTAGCTGAGTCTCGCTGAGCTTCCTTTCTCATCTCTAAAAGGGGCAGCTTATCATGCTTAAAGGACCACCATCTAAGGCACCGCAGGGCCCCAAGAACAAAGAACGTAGGAACAGCGCCCCTGGAGGTGATCCATGGGGGTGGCAGAGAATACACCGGGACAGGAGGTTAGAACTTCAAAATCTCTTTCTGGAATACCTGTAAGAGGGACCCAAAAGTAGTAACAGAGGTGAAAGCAACATTTCAACTGCAGAGTGTGGTGCAACAGGCCAGCACCGCTTTTCTGCCAGGGAGGAAGTCCAGGAAGCTGAGGGACGGGAGAGACCTGTCTTCTCACCCTGATTCCACGAGACAGTGCTTGTGGGACCTTCAACAATTTTACAACTTCCCTGACCTCATCTTCCTTATTTTCCAAGGTAGCCATTCAGGGTGGATGATGCGCTTTTGAATTCCCATGGTTTCAAGAACATTCCAGTTTATTGACCATCATTTACAGTGATTCAACTGGCTAAGCAGGAGGTAATACAGTCAATGCCGTTCTTATTACACCTGAAGTTCATTCAGCTCATGAATATCGGCAAGAACCCGGACAAACACCACAATAAATAATGATAATTGTGATTATTGATTAAGTCACAGGCACTTTACTTTGTGCTTTGGTGCTATTAATTCAGTCTCCCTACAACGTGCTGAGGGATGTATTCCCCCCTACCCATGGATCACCTCCAGGGGCGCTGTTCCCGCGTTCTTTGTTCTTGGGTCTCTCTGCAGTTACTTACAGGGTATTATAAGATGCCCCTTTTAGAGATGGGAAAGGAATCTCAGTGAGACTCAGTTACTTCCCTAAATGCCTACCCATCATTAAAGGCAGAGGAGGAACTCAGACCCAGACGTTGAATTCCAAAGCCTGAGCCTTTTTCAAGGTGCCAGGCTGGCATCTGCAGGCCAGAGGCAACTTTTTCATGGGAGAGAATGTGTGACTGGGGCTAGGGAGGGCTGGGTTAGTATCCCAGCTCTGTGCCTATGCAAGGGTCACTGAACCCCTCTGTGCCTCAGTTTTCCCATTAGTATAATGGGTCATACTCATTCCTAGCCCATAAACTGAAATTAAATGAGGATTATGTGGTGCTCCTGAAACTGTGCATGGCTGGTTAGGCACAAATGGAAAACGTCTTTCTACACGGAGGAAAGTCACTGAGTACCTTCCCAGGGAACCCGCTCCCTGGGCAGATGGAGGAGCTGGTGATCACACAGCCTTTTGAAGGGGTCGTCTTTTCCAACAGAACATGACACAGCCACAGGGAAAGTTGTTTTAGTTCCACTTAGTTTGATTTATTATTGATAATTTTGGAGATAAATTAGAATCATTAAAATAAGAGGCTGCAGTCTGCAGGCTGTTTTGAATTCCAGGGCTGTCTGCTTTGCATTTCCTGGGAACTGAGTCCATTTGCATGTGTAGAGGAGGAGGGCCCTGAGAGAGCAGGAGGCAGAAAGGCCTGCCTGGAAAGTCTGGTCCCTGAGAGAGGAAGCGCACCATGGAACTGTGTATTAGCTGCTGGGGCTGCCGTCACAAGATGCTATAGACTGGGTGGCTTGAATAACAGAAATTAATTTTCTCTTAGTTCTTGGAGGCAAGAAAGGTTAAGATTAAGGTGCCAGCTGATTTGTTTCCTGGCAAGGTCCGTCTTCCTGGTTTGTAGATGGCCACTTTCCTCTGAGCACGGAGAGCGAGGAGAGTGAGTTCTCTAGTGTTTCTTCTTTTTACTTTTTTTTTGAGATGGAGTTTTGCTCTTGTTACCCAGGCTGGAGTGCAATGGTACGATCTCGGCTCACTGCAACCTCCGCCTCCTGGGTTCAGGCAATTCTCCTGCCTCAGCCTCCTGAGTAACTGGGATTACAGGCACGTGCCACCATGCCCAGCTACTTTTTTGTATTTTTAGTAGAGACGGGGTTTCACCACGTTGACCGGGATGGTCTTGATCTCTTGACCTCGTGATTCACCTGCCTCGGCCTCCCAAAGTGCTGGGATTACAGGCGTGAGCCACTGCCCCCGGCTCCTTTTTACTTTTTGAGTGGGAGTCTCACTCTGTCCCCTAGGCTGGAGTGCAATGGTGTGATCTCAGTTGACTGCAACATCCACTTCCCAGGTTCAAGTGATTCTCCTTTCTCAGCCTCCTGAGTAGCTGGGATTACAGGCACCTGCCATCGTGCCCAGCTAATTTTTATAGTTTTGTAGAGATGGGGTTTCACCATGTTGGCCTGGCTGGTCTTGAATCCCTGATCTCAGGTGATCTACCTGCCTTGGCCTCCCAAAGTGCTGGGATTACAGGTGTGCACCACCGTGCCCGGCCCTGGTGTCTCTTCTTAAAAGGACACCAGTCCTATTGGATCAAAATGCCACTCTTATGACCTCATTCAACCTTTATTACCCCCCAAAAGCCCCATCTCCAAATACAGCCCCATTGAGGGTTAGGACTGCAACGTACGGATTTGGGGGAGGAGAGGTCAAAATTTAATCTGTAGGGCACTGCTCTCCACTCCTCCAGGAGGCCTCTCATGATTGTTAGCACTGTAACAAGAACAGTTGCCAGCACCTTTTTACATCCCTACAGAAGCATGATGAAGTTAGGAACTGCATTGCTATTCCTTTCCCAGAGGAGAAAACTGAGGAACACAAAAAGGACACTCACTGACCTAAGGTCCCCAGCCGGCGAGGGGTGCAGCCATGCCAGGGACCTGGTGTGTGTGACACCTTGTAGTGCTTGTGGTACCTCATCAGTCTTTCTCACAGGGTGGCAGGGTGGGAAAAGCACCAACTGAAAATAAAATTTAGATTCAGAAGGTACATGTGCAGCTTTGTTACATGGATATATTGTGTGATGCTGAGGTTTGGGCTTGAATTGAACCCATCACCCAAAGAGTGAACATAGAACCCAACAGGTAGTTTTTCAACCCTTTCCCCCTTCTGCCGTCCCCCGTTCAGAGTCTGCAGTGTCTGCTGTTCTCCTCTTTATGACCATGTGTACACAAGGTTTAGCTCCTGCTTATAAGTGAGGACATGTGGCATTTGGTCTGCTGCGTTTGCATTCATTGAATTAGGATAATGGCCTCAAGCTGCATTCATGTTGCTGCAAAGGACATGAGTTCATTCTTTTTCATGGCGGCATAGTATTCCATCGTGTATATGTATCCCATTTGCTTTATCCAGTCCACCATTGATGGGCACCTAGGTTGATTCCGTGTCTTTGCTATTGTGAATAGAGCACCAGTTTTTGAATCAACCTTGGGCAAAATGCTACCTCTATCACTTAGAAGTTGGGAGACTGTCGGTGAATTATTTGCTGTGAGTGCAGTTGTATCACGTGGAAGGGATAACAGGATTGCACTCACATGGTGGTGTTGAGGTCAGACAAGATGAGGTATGACCAGTGCTTAGTATGAGGCCTGGAACATTCAGTCAGCGCAGTCATTTCCACGTTGGGCGCTGTGCATGTGAGATCCACAGGAGTTCAGGAGGCCTTTGATATTGCGCGTTGAACGTACAGAGGTGTGGTTTCATCTCTTAGCCAAATGTTCAGGATCTTCCCCCGACTCCACCCCTCTTCCCCTGATCTTAAAAAGTAATCCCAGGAAAGGGTGCGACAAAAATCATTCATGTTAAATAATGAATGAAGAAGGATTTTCAAGGCAGTCTTTGATGATTTGAGAGAGAAATTATGATTTTTTTTTTGAGGTGCAATTTCACTCTTGTCACCCAGGCTGGATGGAGTGCAGTGGTGTGATCTTGGCTCACTGCAACCTCTGCATCCTGGGTTCAAGCTGTTCACCTGCTTCAGCCTCCTGAGTAACTGGGATTACAGGCATGCACCACCATGCCCAGCTAATTTTGTATTTTTAGTAGAGATGGGGTTTTACCATGTTTGCCAGGCTGTTCTCGAACTCCTGACCTCAAGTGATCCACGTGCCTCCCAAAGTGCTGGGATTACAGGCGTGAGCCACTGTGCCCGGCCAGAAATTGCAATTTTTAATTTTTGTGCATGGTAGACTCTGGCAAGGCCAAACCTGGATCTTGGTGGCCCAGTTGTTCAAACAATACTGCTCACATGTGTTAGGCCTTGTGCTGGA